CGATGATAACACTTATGGCAGGGGCAGAAATACATTACCAACAAAGGCATGGCAGACTAGAATGACCGTTTCCGTTTTATTGGCTGGCATCGGCCAGCCATACCTGATTTCAGGCTTGGCGACCACGAAGGCTCGAGCCTGCGACCTTATTGTTTAGAGGTCCAATGATCTAACCACTGCGCTGCAGCCTCGTTGACTTAAGGGTTTCGATCGCAAATAAACATAATGGCGGATAGGCGCTCACTGGGCGGGGACGAAACTCAGTTATGCCGCTGTGCCTTGGGGTTCGCATGGAGCCCATTTTTCATAAGAACACGCATAAATCCTGGTTATCTTTGATAAAGTACGAAACTACTACCTAATTTTGACTTGAGTAAATAATGAGCAAAAGGTTACTGTCAAAAGTTACCAGTTAATTATGCAAGGATTTTTACTGCAAGTCTCCAGCCATTTTCCAAATCCAAATGAATCCATTAATTAGGCTCGGTCTCTTAATAAATGAGTCAATAATTGTTAGTCGTAATTTACATATATTTTAAAAGGCTGGTTGGTAGTCAGGTAAAATCCTAACGAATTCTCCTTCTGGGTCTAAGCAGGCTGCGTCAACAAAAAGAAAACATGACTTGTATGAGACCTACGATGAAAGAATGCCGAACAGGAATATTACAAGAGAATTATCAGTCGTTTTTGATTTTTTACAACTTATGCATCTTATTAATAATTACTGAGGCCTGAATAGGTGATTTAATAAACAAACCTATCATCTTTCCGTCGTAAAAATGTCAATTGTGTAGCAACCGTTCAAAATAAGTCACCAAATTGCAAGCCGAATTCAAATGAGGCATGATACATCGGTGTCCATCCATTCCTACTTGAAAGAAATACGATTTATTTTAAAAATATCATTACAAAGTTTCGGCAAAATCGTCATCCATTCACCACGAATAAAATAAGGCACAGAAACCGTGGAGACATGAACTCGCAAAATGTAGGCCAAATTAAACTTCCTTCAGGTCGGCGCAATTGTCCTCCACTGATGACCTCATTGCTGTAGTTCAAATAAAGAATGAGGATAAAGATCCGTTTCTCATTGGCCTACCGGACCAACCGATGCAAATGTATGAACATTTACATGCTAATGGAGGGAAGGGAAAATAGCGGCTCAATTTCAAAGCCCCCACTTATTGAGTAAATACCCAATCTGTAGCAACAGAGAAAGACGCGTAGCCAAGCACCAATAAGCTGCGATTTAAGGAAATCCCAGACTGTTTATAAAGGCTGTCTTAATCAATGATAAAAAGGCATACTACGTACGTAGCCAGTTATTACAATAGATACTTTTTGGTAGTAGGCAGAACGAAGCTCGTTTAAAAGCCCGCATCCTATCACGACGGAATAAACTTCAGAATTGATTGCACGCTATTCAGTATCACAACCTGAGTCAATACCGATTAGCGAAAGAGTATAAAACTTTCGCCTTTGTCAAAATGTTGCGTGATCCGTGGCATCTACTGTATATATGCATATCTGGATGGTAGATTGGGTCCTACCGATCAATAACACGATTCACTCCTTCCGATGTGCCTTAAGTGTCAATCTCGAATCCCACCAACAGCCATTGAGCGGCTAGTGATGTGGCTAAAATAATATCACCAACAATGACTGGAAGGACTGGACTGACAATTTATGATTTGCAAGTTTTCATCAGCTAGCCATAGCATACCTCGGATATTGTTGGATCACATATATACATACTTATATCAGAAATTAATAGTTCAGAACAAATATATTAATATTCAGTCTAATATTTGCTATTTTTATTTCACCTGAATTTATTTCTGAAGCCTCGGGATGACCACGCACTTTTAGACTGTGAAAAACAGTCCTAGTATACAAATAATTAATTATTGACCATGCAGACAGCATATGTACAAGCTAAACGTCCGGAAACCTGCTTTGATCGAAAGTGAAAAAATTGTGTTCAGAAAAAATTGATGCATGTTTGCGCATTTATAGCTGCGAGATGAGAAATATCTGCATTCTTCACTGTCCCATGAATGCAGTTTTCTTTTACAGAGCCGTGGTAAAGCATTTTTCTGTACCCTGAGGCGCCAGTCTGTAGCTGTCGAACACTAGCTGCACAATAAACTGCCCCCACCGACTATGAGTCACCGGACCATAAAATCTTACCGCAGACAAAGCAAGCGGTACTTGCAGAAACTGCCTACGGGCTAAACAAAGCCGTGAATGGCAGCCTATTCATGAAAATTCCTACTGTTAAAAAGACATTGTCCTTTTCACTCGCTGAGTAGAACTGTCTTCGCAAGAGGAGGATGTCCTACATCACCCAACTGCAAAAACCGTTCGCACTTTCGTTTTTGCTTGCGAACCACGTTAAAACGTGGCGTCTGTGAGATGAGGGCGTATTCCAGTTAATTACAAATGTCTGCTAGTTTTGTCAGTGTGAAGGATCTATTTTTATTCGTATGCGCGACCCAAGGGGAAGGTACTGGTCACTATGATGCCCTACAGTCTGTTAATTGCCTAGGGATTGCTTACTGGTTCGGCCTACTTCCGCCTGTAGATATCGCCTCAAAAAGAACACTTTTAATTTAGAAAATAATCGCGTAAAACAAGCAGTTTATAGTAACCCACCCAAATCAGACTAGAAAACAATGCTACGAACCAAGGTCTGCCAGTCAAGTGGGTTTATTGACTCTGCTGCCAATATAATGAGCAGTTTTTACGATTAAAGTTAGGAACGATGTGTAGGAAAACAAGCCCTGTCAAAAGAAAGGAATATCTTAGAAGCATGGTGCTTACTGTCCTGTTACCATGAATCCAATGACATTATATTTACGCATATCTCCACA